TTCTCCAAGGTGTCTGAACCAATTTCAGGTTGTAACAAAACCATTCCTTAGTTCCCAGATTGCATCTGTGATATGATGCCTGAGTCTCTAAAGGGGAAACTGACACTTCAGTTGCTAAATTGCATTAAAGGAAACAAAAGTAGTTCTATCCTACCTTTAGTTTTCTGCATATGCTGTGACCTACCTGCAGAATGGATGCTGGACAGACAGGTCTTAAAGAATGTAGTCTATTTGTACTTGTGAGGATAACAGACATCCACAAATGAAAGGGATGCTCTCTCCCTAGAACTGACCAAAACTGTCCAAAACATTGCCAAAATTTGTCTGATTTCTCCCACAAAACTGTAAAAGTTATTGAATAAATTCTTCTTCCTGTTTTTCAATGCACTTTCTGCAGCAGTTTTCTTTTCCTTGTTTGAAGAACAATAAAAATATTCTGAGATTTCAAGCTATCTTAGCAGCATGCCATGATTATTTGTCAGTAACTGGCATCAATATAGGTGTAACAAACTTTTTTTGAATGTAAAGAAATGGAGAAATTGAGAAATAGGGGAAAAAAAGAAAAAGAATGTTTTGCAAAAATAGGTTCTGAGCTTTTCCAATGTGTTGTTTTGATTGCCTTCACGTTGTCAAGCAGCCCAATGTATAGACATATTTCTCTAGATTTCCCTGCCTTTTACTAAAACAAAGATGGTCATGCTAATTCAGACAACTGTTAGAATCACCTAGTTAACACTTTTAAAGGGATCTAAAGCAGTACAAAAGTCAGTATATTATCTATCCCTCTTCCCCCACACTCTGTCATCCATTTTACCTGGGAGCTCGGGAGGTGCAAGCAGATTCATGAGCTGTCCTGCAGGAATACATGAATGGCTGTCAGCCAAAGCAGCAGTCAGATTTTTTTAACAGGATAATGAAGCCAAGTGCAATGCATTGAATAGGTGGAGTTGTTGAAACAGACCTATTCTAGCATTTGCATTAGCTGTGGAGCAAATGGCTGCTGTGTTCTCTTTTATCCATGAGTCTTCTAATGGGCCTCTCTGTTGCTTACACTAAATCTACCCATTCTCTAACTTGCCCTATTTATCACTGTTCATATTCTAATACTGTTACTTAACTTCTTCCCCTACTCCAGCTCTGGGAACCATGGGATCACAACTGCTATTGTGATTATTTTTTTTTTAACTTGGCCTCTACTAGAAAGCAGGCTCTACCTGTCCTGGGTCTGCAGGCATGAGCCTACACCTTTGTACCTCCTCCCTGAGGAGTACTCTGGTGATCCTTTTCTCTTTTGAGCAGGGAGAATGAGGCAGGGACAAGTGTGAGGGTGCAGGAGCAGAGAGGACAATTGGATGTAGGGATAGAAAGGTCTATAGCCAGCACCTGAAACACATCCTTTGGGTATTAAGTCATGAAGCCTTTGCTGCTGACACGTGAGAAACACAATGACGTGACAAGTTTGCCACTGCAAAGAGGTCTACTGAGGAAACCTCTTCAAGGTTCCAGCACTGTCTCTGCTGCAGCCAACAGGAGCCCACACCATGGTCTTCTGGAACAGGGGGGATTCAGTTAGTGTTGCCTTAAAAATAACAGCTCGAAAGACTGATGAAAAAGAGCACTGAGCAGCTTCTCTTTGCCAGCCTCCTCCTGCAATGTTATAAGGTGCTAGAGTTCATTCTCTCACCTCTGTGTGGGTTGTTCCCGCTACGTTCCCCTACATGACACTCCGGGAGACTTCATGTTCAGTGCTCACCCTCCTGCCTGCATCTTTAGCACCTGGACACCTAAAACATGTGACTCATCTTTTCCCATGTTCTCATGAATTATTTCCAAATGTCTGAAGTGTCTTAAACATCAGTCACACACCTCTGTGTATGCTTATCTTTCTGTTTAATGTTATTTATCACAAAAGACACTGATAAAGTTACCTTTACCCTTCCTCACATGATAATCCCAAGCAAACATCCCATAAAGATTACGCACTCACCTTAACACTCATTACTTTACAAGAGCTGTATCAAATGAGCTGTATCAAATTGTGAAATTTATCTTCTAGCTCTTGGTAACTGTTTTCAGATTCTTCAATCACAAACACGTAATTGAAAGTGAATTTTTTTCACTGACCTGAAAGGGATCATTATCAGAACTGAGAGTGGAGGCACCTTCCGGCTATTTTGTTTTTCCATGCTCAGACTGACTAAGGTCCAGCTTGGAGGTGGTGATTTACAATGTTTTCATTTCAAGAGTGCCTGAATGAAGGCACTGCAGTAGAGGCCACATGCTGCCCCTGGCTATTAGCTCCTAGGCACCTACCTAGACACCCACCTTAATTAGGCAAGATACAGTTACTGGTCTGAGACAGAGGAGGGCAAGAAATTCTTAATTTTAAAAAAAATTAAAGAAAAAAGAAAAAAAGGAAAAGAAATTTGTAGAAACAAGACCCACACATTCACACATTCTGCTGCATTCACATAACCTGTAAATCAGGAAAGCCCTTAGCCATGTATTTAAGAAAATGTACGTCTAATTTTGCTCTGGAAAGACTTCTGTGTAAGTAAGTGATATTTGGAATGAGATGTCCATGACTGTACACAGTAAAAAGATTTGCTGCCAAATCCAAAGTCTGCTTGAAGTCTTTTTTGCTGAAATATGTCAGATGAAGGTCACAACAAGTATTAAATATCTATCCAAAACCATAACAGCTAGTGATACCTGTGGCTAAATCAGGCCCACACTGGCGTTAACAAGGTATCTTTAACAGGCGCTCCAGAGACACAACAGATACCAGACCACCAGTGATGAGTGAAGACTTGCTATGCCCCAGCAGCTGCCTTCTCTGGAGCAGCACAGACACCACTTCTCCACACACTCCATCTGTTTTTGAATGCACTCTCCATGCTATGGCACATGGATCCGCCTTCTGTGCCACAAAGCCCACCCATCAAGGCAATGCCTCTTGCAAAACCACTACAGAAAACACAAAGATGCTTCACCAAGTCAAAATATTTTATTTTCCAATTTTGAAGCTGATTGAACTCACAGCCAACCATTCCCAATGTCACTATCAAATTCAGTATTGCTCTGCAAGCCTATGTATGCAACTGTGGCCCAGACTACACTGACATAAGGCAACATTAGAATATTCCAATAGCCATAATGTTAAAATACATTAAAAAGATTTCTCATGTCTAGAACATGTTAGCTGATCTCAGTTAATTTGAATGCACGCACTCTAATGCAGAGTGAAATTTTTCACATAAATTATATTTCAGGGGAAAAGTGTGCAGGTTCTCTCATATTAATGCAGTTCTAAAATCTGTATTAGTTTCCCAGACTGCCCGCTTAGAAGAAGAGATTAAATACAAAAATTACTTAACCACTTCCAAACAAAAATAATTCAAGTTTTCTACTATAATGGAATCCTTCAATTGTTAAAGAAAATATTATTTCTGATCTCAGAAAGAAGAAAACATTTTGTTTAATTCAGCCCCACTTTCTACTGCCAGATGGCTTACCAGTTGTTTTCAGAATATTTCATTTCCCACCACTCCCCAAACTGAAAGCCATTTTTTTAATTCAATGTAAGCTAAAAAGAAAGCCCCATTATCTGTTGGAGTGGGTCCAGAGGAGGGCCACAGAAATTATCAAAGGTCTGGAGCCCCTCACCCTGTGAAGACAGGCTGAGGGAGGTGGGACTGTTCAACCTGAAGAAGGGAAGGCTTTGGGGAGATCTTATTGTGGCCTTCCAGTACCTAAAGGGAACTATGAGAAAGATTAGCAGGTCCTGTTGCAATAGGACAAGGGGGTAATGGTTTTAAACTACAAGAGAGTAGATTTAGGATGGATATAAAAAAGAAATTTTTTACAATGAGAGTGGTAAAACACCAGAACAGGTGGTCCAGAGAGGTGCTAGATGCCCCATCCCTGGAAACATTCAAGGTCAGGTTGAATGGAGCTCTGAGCAACCTGATCTAGTTGAAGATGTCCCTGCTCACTGCAGGGGGCATCTAGGCCTAGATCACCTTCTCAGATCCCTTTGAACCCAAAGTATACTATATTTCTATCTGCCTAGCTTTGCTCTGATGATAAGTTGTATTTGATACAATATATGTAGAAGATGTCATTAAAATACTTTACTACATTTGCCCAGCCTACTTATGGAATCAGCAATCTTACTGCATGGATTGGGTATTTCCCTCTAGGGATCAGACTGCATGAGGATGAACAAGTACTCGTATGTGGTGCTGCACCTCCTGTCCCAACCAACAGAATATCCAAATGCATAGTAAACACATTATCCTCTTACAAATTATAGTGAGCTAAACCAGTGCAATTAGGTTCATCCAAGAACATCAGGATCATTTGCAAAAAGTTAAAAAGGGTTTATACCAAACACAGAAATAGTTGCAAATTGGAAAGATCCTGTAACACTTCAAGTCCTGCTGAACGCCTGGGCAGGTCAGATTTGGGGTGAAGAAGCTGGGGAGGTGAGCGTTTTTGGGAGGAGATTCCATAGAATTATGAAATCATTTTGGTTGATCAAGATCTTTAAGATCATCAAGTCTAACAGTTAACCCAGCATTGCCAAGTCCACCACTAAACCATGTCCCCAAATGCCACATATATGCCTTTTAAATACCTCCTGGGATGGTGACTCCACTTCCCTGTGCAGCCTGTTCCTGTGCTTGTCAATCATTTTGGTGAAGAAATTTTTCCTAATACCCACTCTAAACCTCCCCTGACAAAACTTGAGGCCATTTCCTCTCATCCTTTTCCATGTTACTTGGGAGAAGAGACCAACCCCCACTTTGTTACAACCTCCTTTCAGGTAGTTGTAGAGAGCAATAAGGTCTCCCCTGAGCCTCCTTTTCTCCAAGTTAAACACCCCCAGCTCTCTCAGCTGATCCTCACCAGACTTGTGCTCTAGACCCTTCACCAGCTCCGTTGCCCTTCTCTGGACACACTCCTGCACCTCAATGTCCTTCTTGTAGTGAGGGGCCCAAAACTGAACACAGGATTCGAGGTGTGGCCTCATCAGTGCTGAGTACAGAGGGACAGTCACTTCCCTGGTCATGCTGGCTATACTTTTTCTGATAAAAGCCAGGATGCCATTGGACTTCTTGGCCACCTGGGCACACTGCTGGCTCATGTTTAGACAGCTGTCAAACAGCACCCCCAACATTCCTTTCAATTGCTTTCATCCCCACAGACACTGTTAGTACAAAGATCTTAAAAATCATTCCCACTTTCTAAGCAGAGAACCAAAGCACCATGTAACATTAAAGACCAGTGGCAGAAGACATCCCAGACTCTAACTCCTATTTTGTTTTTCCAAGACAGTGACAGAGAACCTGCCATCCCAGGTTCATCATCAGGAAGAGCATCTGTCACTAACATATTTACAAACAGTAATTGTGTATTTACCAACTTAGGAGCTGCATTGCCAAGGAATGTAAAAAGTCTTGCACTAAAAAGATCATAATTTCTGTTGATGGAGAGCCCACACAGGTTTGGGGATTTCAGATCAAACATATGCAACTGTATTTACTGATCGGAATTAGCTATAGTGAGCTCATGGCATGGAGTGAGGAATGATCTATTGTAAGGGAGGAAGGATGAGAAAATCCTGCTTTGGACATATGACAGCAATGCAGCGTAAAATTAGATTTTAAAAAGATAAAAAAGATGAACAAGAATGTCTCTGGATTAACCCTAAATCATATCCATTCTAATTGCTAAAAAATAAAAATAAAAAAAATCACATTGACAGTTTGGTACCCTGAAGTGCTCAGTAACAGCATAAAAGTACATGGTATAAAATCTTACTAAATTACATGGTATGAAAACACTCACACCATGTTTGCATCTCTGGAGGATGAACAGGGTTATCTTTCCACTACTGGTCCTTTCAGTTCTACAGCTCACAGACATTTGTGTCAGAAGTTGTTCTGACATGGACAGTGGCTATTTGTGGTGCAAGAATATACAGATTCCTGAGCTGAGCTTCCAGCTACTGCAGAATGGGAGGGCTTATTGCAGAATTTTGGCAATCCATCTTCAACAACTGAACCATTCAGGATAATCTTAGAAGTCTGCTTCTTGTCCCCAGCTTCTTCATCCGTGCACTCCAGGGGCTCCAGGTCATGGTATTTTCTCCGATATATGACTCTTGAGATTACAGTTATCAGAAACATTTCCATGATGAGAAGCTGCTGGGCTATATCTGCCAAAAAAAAAAAAAAAAAAAAAAAAAGAGGCAAAGAAAAGCCCACAAAAGGGGGAGGTTACTATCAGATGCAAAATGAATACTCAGCTCATTAATTCATTAATTTTCACCTGTGCAAAGGGGACAAACTTCACCATTCAGTCCCTGTAACAGTGTGTCTCATGCTCAGCAACAACATCAGCTACAGAATTCCAGTATTGCCCATCAGTAAGCATGCAATAAATTACGAATCCAAAACATAAGAGAATTAACAGCAGTTATGCATTTTGATTTCTTTTCCTCTCATTTCTGATTCCAGCTCTTCTCATTAAACAAGTTTTTCTCTAAGAGTGTCACAGCTATAAAACTTTTATTCTTGTTTTTTTAACTAAAAACTGAGATTCTCAAAAAGCTAATGATCCCAGGAAATTAGTGCTTTGGGAAAACACCAGATATTGCAGTTAGCAACGCTGAACTGGCACCTTTATAAGTAAATGAAAAACATTCTTCTCAAAGAAACTTACATGATCCTCTTGCTATAGAGGAGAGTGGTGGAGCACAGGGAATGATTCTTTGTGTGGCCAACATGCGGATAATAACGGTCTGCAGCTGGTTCAGAACAATAATAAACTGCACCAGAAAGAGAAAACAAATGCCTAAGCCTGAATTCAGCCTAATACAGCTTTGCAGGTATGACCATCTATTATAAGTTCTTAATAATTTACTTAACAGACACCTTAGTGCATCAGCCTTTCTGTATGTCCTGCTCAAGAAATATGCATAACCAAGGATTCTGCACTCTTTTCAGGGTTATGAGGAAGAGCGTGGCCTTGTCCCTGTGCTTGTTCAATCTAATGTATCTGGTTCTATTCCTTACTATTTAACAATTCCCAGACATTAATAAGTTTCATTATTATCTAACTCTGAAATGCAGAATGGCCAAGAAAAATACTGTTAAAACAGAATATTGTGGCACGCTGAAATGCTTCAAACAACAGCCACCCACACAATGCAATATATTCTCTCCTGATTTTTAGAGACACACACTAACATTTTAACATTGCATTTTGTGATACCACATCGACAAAGCTTCAAGCCCCGCAGATGGTGCTGCTGTGATTTTATACTTTATCTGGTATAAAGATAGACAGATTTTATGTGTCTTTCACATCTCCAGCACTCCTGAGAGACAAGAGGTAAATTGGCTCAAGACAAAACTGAACAGCAGCCAAGGAGAGTCCTTCAAAGGAATGCAGCTTTAATCAGGTAAAAATACGCCCTTGCACACTGTATTTAATGGGAGAAAATATTATAACTTTTCAATGAGGGACCAAGAACTAGAGAGACAGTGTTGCATCAGCAGTTAAGAAAAATTCTTACCAGAAATATTAAACTTCTCACCTGATATAGGGCAAACTTTGGGATAATGTTCTTACAGGTAAGGAGAGTCCTAACTTTTCGAAACATGATTCCAACTGCCCACAGAGCAGCAAGGGTAAGGACACCCATGAAGATGTTAATCCATAGCGCAGGTTCTTTGGGAGATAACTGAGAAGCAAATAAAACAAGAGCACCTTATAGAACCTTACTTTGCATTTTACTGTTTCCAGGAAGAAGTCGTGAACTAGACGATCCAGATGTTCAAATGCTTGTTCCTATCTCCATGAAAGCTGGTGGCAGCAGCAGCTGCTGGGCTTTGCATGGGGAAACTGCACAGAACCAACTGGAGTGTTGCCTCATGCTCTCACCCAACAGGCATCAACATGGAAATCTGTTCAGCCTGGGAAGGTACCAGTTGACACAACCCCTCAATCTGACCCCAGAAGCAGCTGACAACGCTCAGCAGCTCATGAGAACATATTCAACATGACATCTCAAATGGGTCATTTGTTTTATACCATGAAACAACAAAAAAATAATTACTTTTCATCTCAGTTGTCTAAGAGGTGCAAAATTATTATCAGCCACAGACTTCTCCATCATCTTGCAGGTTACATGGGACAAAGCAGAAGTATAGTACTATCTTTTCTACTTTGCACAGATATGAAAATCACCATGATTTGCAGAAAAGCATAGAATTAGGCTTTCTGTTTACACTTGCTAGTACATGCACTTTTTTCTTAAGTCTGTACCTTTAAAAAACACAGGGCAGGTACATCACACAGGGCAACTTGTAGTCCCTCTATTCTAACCATACAAACTGGGAAATGTATTGGAGCACAGTCTGATGCCAAACGTACCCTGATGCCCAGTTTCTTTCCAAGAGAAGCCAGGAAATTGAGGGTCTAGAAGGCAGAAATTATATGCTTCAGGGTCAAAAAGAATACAGTAAAGACTTACTTGGAAGTGCTCCCAGATTTCACAGGTCAGTTGTAGGCTAAGATAGTAACATCAACCCTAAAACCTATGGATTTTGTGGACCACCTCTGATTAAAATATTTACTTACATTGTAAAGGAGGTAATTGCCATTACTCCAAAGCACTATTGATAAAAATACGAGCACAGGTCGAAGGACAGCAAACTGAAAGGTGCCCACCTTCAGCCAAAAGAGGGTTTGCCTGGCCAAAAAACAAATATTAAAAAAAATCAGATAGAACAAGATCTTATTAGCAACCTTAATAACATTTTTTTGATACTATCAACTGCAAAACTTTTCCACTCCTGTAGCATGTGGCTAAAATTTGGGAAGGAACAGCTTCAAGATTAGAATATCTTTCCAAGAATTTCTCAGTGTTTATTTAATAAAGTCTCTACAAAAATAGTACTTTTCCTGCTCTGCAGCAACTACATACTGGGCAAAATGTGATGTCTTTCTCTGCCCTGAAGCTAACCAGGGAGCCAGTAGCAGCATAACTGGTTTCTGAACAATAATGCTCTTGCCTTGCTGTATTATTATTTCAGTCCTCTGGTGAAGTTGGCCAATTCAGCCTTCCTGTTGAGACACTTTCTAGTCCTTTGGTAGATCAAGAAAGGGAATCATACAGACCTAGGTGAAAGGACTGGTAGTTTTTCAATACATCATGAATAGTACCACATAAGCATCTGGTTTTGCTCCGTTGCAGTCTAACAGAAGAAAGGAACTGTCTTTCACTTGCAAGCTGCACAAGGTCAGCAAGACAGCTCAGGATTTCCTCACTTCTGTCAGTATAAACTGGGTCCAGAACACAGCCCATACACAGTAACCTGGCAGGAAAGGGGCAAATGAACTTTCTAACAGAAGGGGTGAAAGCTGACTGACCTGAAATCTCCTTCAGTCTTCACAGGACAAGCTACAGCTGCTACATATGGCTCATGTTTTAAGTCTGTTCCTGTGTATTATTTCCTATACTGTCAATGTTATCTTCACTGTAGCTCCTTGGGCCCTTGAGTCTGCCATGAGAGATGCCTCAGCAGAAAACAGTTTAGCTGCCATTTATATGTTACAGAATACAGCCATAAACCAGGAATTATAGGAATTGCTCAATGAATATAGCTAATAACCACAGGATTATGAACAGCACAAACACATGTGGAAAGACCTGCAATGGGCCAGCCATTTAGTGTGTGCTTTTTAAAAGATTTATTATTCCCAAAGGGCTTCAAAGAATAATAAATATGACAAACAGTGCAGTCATTGCAATGCCATGAGTTGTTTCCCTTGTCAGTTCTTTACAGAGAGGGTAATGAGGCATTGGAATGGGCTGCCCAGGGAAGTGGTAGATTCTCCACCCCTGGAGGTTTCTAAGATGAGACTGGATGTGGCACTTAGTGCCATGGTCTGGTAACTGCAGGGGTAGTGGATCAAGGGTTGGACGTGATGATCTTGGAGGTCCTTTCCAGCCTGGCTGATTCTATGATTCAATGTGGGTCTATCTTTGTTGACAATCAGATTCTTCTGCCACATCTCTCTCCATTGCACTACTTGTTACCTTGCCTCATCTGTACCTCGTTATTTTTCCCAGGACTGCTTGATAGCCTACGTTTTTTTTAAGAGAACAAATCCCTCTCTTGGAGTAGCTCCCTGTTTCTCCATAAGATACCTACAGGAGGAGCATGAGATTGACTTTTCTCTGGTATGGATTGCTCATATTTGAAAAAGAAAAAAAAAAGTCACCCTGTAATGGGAAAAGGCTGGAAGTTAGAAGCAGAGAGCAGATGGACTTCCCAGTACTACAGAGAAGAAGCCTAACAGCCCTCTGCGGATCAAAAAGCCTTTTTTTTAAACACACAGCTGTCCTTCCTCCCAGCAGCAATAGGCATTATCTAGTTCCTGAAATGAGTCCGTATTAGCTAATATCATCCTGCATAAGCTGTCATTGGACTGACCAACAGCAGGCAGGGTATAGTACAGGATCCTCTCCCAAGATCCCAGTTACCACAACCTATACAGAGGTTGACAGACACAGGAAGAAAAACAAATAAAGATACATTTTTTGGTTGGTTTACTACTTGGTACCCACTTCATGTAAATATTTAGTCTTATTCTCTTAAAATAAAATGATGGAAACAAGAGTTTAAATTCTAATACCAAATGGGGAAGTTTAAAGAAGAATTATTATAGTAAAAAATAAGAATTTTTGAAAATGTGTCAGAAACCACTATGCTGTGTTCTGTTTGATGCTTTCCTTTAACAGATTGTAAAGTCCCCAAGGTCCCTCTGACACCAAAGTCCATGACCTCATAGAATAGTCTCTGTCTTGCACATTCAGTCCTTCAGATTTTGCTTATAATGAGAGAAACAGTCTTGTGCTCTGCGCCAGTAGGAAAGCCCTGGGAAATACATGAGGCTTCCAGGCTATGGAGCAGCCTGCACATGACAGAGTGACACGAGCCAGAGGAGGAGCCTCACCAGGCAAGGTCTATGTTACAGAGGTCTATATTGGCTCCTGTAGGTGCAGCTCTCTATCCTTACCCCACTTCTCAAAGATCCTTTAATACTTACTAGAAGAAAACATATGCTTTTGCCTCACCAGACAATGCCATTTCATTGAGATCAAAACTCTCCAGAAATTACACCTACTTTTTGTTGTAAAAATTATTTTAAACTATAGTAGTTTTAAAGTCAAAACCAGAATGAAACATTTAAATTTTAGCAAAGTGAGAGAAATTTTCTATCAAGACAGTCTCCATCTGACAATTCTGCTTGTGAAAAATACCCAATTTGAAGATATTTGTTCCCTTCTGAAATGAAAAGAAACTGAAATCTCAATTATTCGGTTTTCTAGAGTAGAAATTCCTCCTCCCACGACCCCCTGCCTTATAGAAACAAAATAAATTGGTGGTGGTGTACAGCCCCAAAGTGACAATGCTGTTTAAAAGAGATGGCTTGAAAGTGACTTTCGGGAAGCGGGTGAGGCCCTTTGCTGTAAGCCTGGCTTTGCCAAATTGGCTGAATTCCCGCAGCCGTTTTCAAGCTGGGAAATCTTAAAGGGCAACTCACCTAGTGATGGGCACACGAGGGAGGCAAAGGCAGCAGCAGCAGCAGGGGCCGGTGCTGATCGTGAAGCGACTGTTTTCAAACCGCCTGAGGAGCAGCTTTTGACCTCCACACTCTTTGATCATCATCATCAGGAACTTGTGGATAACTATGGCAAAAAATCTAGGAGAGGAAGAGAATTCCAGCTTGAACTTGCCTGTGTGTCTCTCGTATGCCTGCGCAGGCTAGTGCTGCCTTCTAAGTTTTTAATTTTTACAGCTTATGCTTTGCAATCAACAAAAATTCTGGCACTATCTGTGAGAAACCTTCCACTTTCCTTCATCTTAGAGGGCCAGAACAGCCCTAACCTCACTGAGAGAGGAATAAATCGAGGCACAGAGTAACTGCAGAATTTCCCAAAGCCACTCTGGTGGCAGAGTCAGTATTAAAGCACATGATTTTCTGGCCCAAGTCATTATGGCTTTATTTTTCCATAAGTTATCTATTCCTGACTGGTCCAAACTTTTTAGAACAAGTTCTCTTCCTCCTCAAACACAGCTTCCAATCAACAAACATGGCTAGGTTCATATATACAGCTATCATTAAATGTGCTGGCCCAGTCAGGGTGTGGTTCCTTTGCAGACAAAGCTGATCCAAGTACTGACTGCTTCAACCCCACCTCTCCCTCCTTCCCCATCTGCACATTCTCAACTCTTCCCAGGAACTGATTCATGGAAATCCAGCCAAATAAAAGGGGTCCTCTTCTGCTGCACTGCCTGCAGATTGGGCAAGGGAGGAGGGGGAATTTGAACACACCTGAAGTGCCACAGGACTGGATCCTTGGAAGTTTCTGGTAGTCTGCACTACCTGCACTACTGCTGCATGCTGACAGTGTTCCCTGCTACAGTGTTTTCCTTCCTCTTTTACTCTACTCTTTTAGTAAATGCAGTGTAACATGGGGTGAGACAACTCATGAAAATCTGTGAAAATGTCTTGCATTGTGTGCCAAAGTCATCCCAAAATGTGGAGTGCTCAAGGCCAGAGCAACCCCAACCTGGTTCTGCTCATCAGGGCTGTGCCATCATATCTAGAAATCAGGGACCACATTCCTCCCTTCTCTGTGCATGCCAGAGCTGTCATGCTCATACAGAAAGTGCTTTTATCAGGACAACTGCGGAACATTTTTACACTGATATACTCATCGGAGGTTCACTTGCCACCATTAATAACAAACCTCCACGGCTCATCATTAGTAAAAGTGCAGGAGAGAAGTCATAGGTCAGACTCTCATTTCCCATGACATGCAGAGAGAGGAAAGACAGAGTACTGCTTCAAAGTGACTGTCAATCCGAAGGATCAATTACATGCGAGTCACAAATCCTTCATGCTAACATTCCCACACTGGGGAACTGTGGCACTGGGAACTGTTTCAGCATTCTCCACCTCCCAGAAAAGAAATGCTGAGAGATTTCAACTCAAACAAAAAATTACTAAATTGTTAAATTTACAAAATGACTGTGTTACCAAGGGCAGCAGATGTTTAAAGGGAAGAAACTCAGGGTTTGGGGCAACATTTAGAAACAAGCAGAGTACTCACATTGCTGCTGTGAAATCTGTAAACATTGTTGAGCGAGGAATCCACATACCAATGCATGAAGTAGTAGAGATCACCTACAGAGAAAGGGAGAAGGACTGTAAGAAGGGCAGAGATAGAGCAGGTTCATGGGGATTTTTGGGGAAACTCTATTTTCAACATTCAGTTTTATCTCATTCCCACGCTAACTTACTGGAGCTGCAGCATTGATCCAAATTATGATTGATCTTTTGGAGGAGGGGATTTTCCTGTAGATGTAGACTGCTTCCTCTATAAATACCAGAATGGCAATTAGTGTCATCAGAGTCAAGGTTGCAAAGAGAAATCTCCCTGGTAGGTCGAGGCCTGCAGAGAGAGAAAAGAAAACAGTTCCAATTTATTTCATAAGCATTTCAAACATTAATGTAACAACACCATCTCTGAGGGGCTTCTTTGCCCTGTTCCTGCAAAGACTTGCACTCAGCCTTAGTTACACAGCCAGACCACTGACTCCATAGAATAATTTAAACACTTAAGTTCATGACTAAGTCTTTCCAGGATCTACAGAGAGCATATGGGAAGAATACGCCTTCATGTTCTCAAAGCATTATGCAATAGTCCCCTTCAGAAAGGTGGATTTACAGGACAAATATCCTTAGAGGAACATGAATATATAGCAGAATACAAATGAATACAGAATACACAATACATAATACACAATACAAATAAATACAGTAAATACATATTCTGGGAAATTTTCCAGGCAGGCCACAAGCAAATGTTCACTCAGTATTAGTCCTTTGCTTCCATTATATGTCAACAGGCATGTTACGTGTGACTTCCTTAGGCAGGTAAACTTAATAGTTCAGTGGAAATTTGTAGGGCACATGAACGATGTAAGAAAAAGCCCCTGATATATCTAGAGTGAGATAAAACTTGATGTCTTCACCTTAATGCTAGATATGCATATCAACATTTACCCACACATGATAAGTTTTATGTCTCCATTGACACTGGGTACAGATACCAACTTTTACCCACGGCTGATGGCTGAGGTGCATTTTTTCTCAAGAGAGGTGTTTCCAGAGACAGAAGAAAGCACTGCAGTGGAGTCATGCTTAATTTAGAAGAAGTTCATGCTCATCACTGGTATTAACTCCTGCTGTGGCCGCAGGAGAGCCTCTGCCCCAGGCTCTTTAACCTAACCTGCTTCAAAAACCCCTGGCACTTCCAGGCTTGGCTGCAGGCGGAGCAGTGCACGTCTCAGTGGACATCGCCACACCTCAGATCTCACCCGAGAGAGCAGCTACTACGGGCCGGTTCAGCGCTCGGTTCGGCGGGTACCGGGCGGCCCCGGCGCGCCCACCCTGTTCTCTGGCACATCCCCCGCAGCTCCGGGCTGGGGGCCGTGCTGTCCCCTCGTCCTTCCCCGAAGGCAGAGACAGCTCGGCCCCCTGACAGGCGGAGGATCGACCGGGACGGGCGGCTGCCAGCCTCCCTCCGCCCGGGGATTTCCTCGCCGGGGAAGAACGGCGGCGGGGCAGGCAGGGGCAGGGGTATGGACAGGGACAGGGGGAGGGACAGGGACAAGGGCACGGGCAGGGACGCGGGCAGGGCAGGCGCAGCCTCCGCCATCCGCCGCGGGTGGGTGCCGAGGGCACGGCCGGGCAGGGGCCGCTCGCGGGTAGCGGGCACCCCTTCTCCTCACGCCTCCGCACTTACTCCGGAGAAGCTCCTCGGAGTAGGGCAGCTCGCTGGCGCCGCAGGACGGGTGGAGGGTCCCGTTCGCCTCGCCGTCCATGGCGGCCGTGGGGCCGCCGCCCCCGCCGCGGGGCCCTGGCGGTGCCGGGGGCTGGGGACGGGCGGAGGGGTCGGTGTGTGCCCGTGGTCGGTGCCGGTCCCTGGCGAGTGCGGGCGCGGCGATGCTCGGCCCGGGTCCCCAGGGCTGGTTAATGATTATCCCGGGCCGGGCCGGGGCGGGCGGCGCAGGGTCCGGCCCCGCGCTGCCTCCTGGCGCCCGGCGGGGCGGGCAGTGCCCGGAGCGGGGCAACGCGCCCATCCCGCTCCCGCTCCGCCTGCGAGGGGACACGTCCCGGCTCTTCCCAGCGTCCTTGCCCGGCTTCGGTGGAGTTGCTTACGGGATCCATCCAACCCTCCCCGGCCCCATCCTTACAGCCCCAGGGTGTCAGCGCACCTGGAACCGGGTGCCGGCAGCCGAGGCGGGACGGGAATCGGCCTGGGAGCGGGCTGCATCCCCAGAGCCGGGACCGCCTTCGCCCCAGCCCCGGGGCACTGGCGGAAAGCTGCTCGGTCAATAGGGCAAATGTTTGAAGGACTTCTCATGGAGCCCTTCACCAAAGACTTCCCCGATCATCTTGGCTGCAACAAGGTGAGAAGCTGAAGGAAAGCACACTAAGGGTAGGAATACACCGAGGGATTCTCCACTCTCCCACGTTTCCCCTGCTGGAAAGATCCTTTATGCAGCCTGAGGCTTTTCAGGCTGTTTCCAGGAAAAGGGAAAGAGTAATGAAATGGTGGAGTTTTGTGACCCACCTAGTTGTTCTGGCTGGTTGGATGGAAAGCTGGCTGCAAGAAGCAGCAGAGGATGGGTGGTTACAGCACCGAGTGACAAAGACTGTAACAGTAAACACAAAGTGGTGTACAGGGGGAAGAGGACAGCCCTAACTATTTATGCAGTGAAAAGTGATTGCCACTCAGGAAAAAGATCCTGGGAGCACAGTGGATTGTCCTCAGAAATGACAGCCGAGGAATCAGCATGGGACAAAAGACAAAGGACTGTGAAGAATTTGTGGATAAAGAAGACACAAAACAACTAAAATACAGATGGAGGCCTCCCTTTGCCACATCTTTGACTGCATTGAAAGCTGAAGAGGAGAGCTTTACAGTTGCACCAAGAGGGATGTGGCAAGAACTGGCTGTTAGAATGTGGTGTTGGCCCAGTTTTCACAGGCTGCCCAGAGCGTCCTCCATCCAGTACATCTGCTGCTGCCCAGCTGCAGAAAGATACAGGCAAAATTCTGGAAACACTATTCCAGCTTATTTTCTATTTGAAAGTCTGTTTACTCATCCCAAAGAAACAGTTGCTAGTAGAGGAGGGAATAATCTTAATACACCATGCATTTTCTAACCAGTTTTCTTGATTTTTTAAAATCAAACTATTTGCAATTGATCACATAATCCAAAATGCAACCAAAAGCTCGTTAGTACTGCTGAGATGAAAAGATGGCCTAAGGCTTTTGGTTCTTCTTGAGCAGACACAACAGGATTCCCATCTGCTGCTGTTTTGGTTGCAAGCTCCTTGTATTCCCTGAAAGCTAAAAATAAAAATCCCTGACCTGTGAATCCCTTTTTTGAATGAGGCAGGTTTGGCAATGCTTTTGTTAGAGAAATTCAGACACTGAGTGATAAAACTCCTGGCTATTTTACTGTATTTTAAAGAAACCCAGAGTCTACTTTGACTTAAGAATTCCTTGAAGAACCCACACAGTAACAGTTATGGATTTGACAGTCAAATTTAAGCCATTCAGTAATATCAGTTTGGAACAAATATTGCAGCATACACTAGACATGGCATTAGAGAGTTTCCTGTCTCAAACATATAGAAAATTTACAGGTTGAAGTTTAGAGCTAAGGATTAATTCTTACCTGCTGTTGTAGAGATCCATCCAACTCTTTTCTTCTATTGGAGTCTTTTACACAGAATAGAGCCTAAAAAGAAAACCACAGACCTACTGTGATTCTTTTTTGTTAGAAACACCATTTGCCATCTTTGGCTCAAACATTGGATCCACTTCCTTGAAAGCTGCCATACATCTGGGGGAAGCATCATCTCTTCCTCACGTTCTAGGTTATGTCTTGGCAACAATATTTGCCTGACAGTGCCTAAATTTAATAAATCAAACTGAAGAATGTGCCATGATCCCTCAGTTACCACAGCTGGAGGTCTGCTGTTCTGTGCAGCATGCTTTCTTAGCCCAGACTCTTCAGCAGTGTAGGGGATGCCGTGCTGGCATCTAAGCCAAATACTGGGTCTCTACACCAACAGTGAATCCTTTAAATCCCCAAGAGCCTAACTATGTTTTGCTCCCAGCTTCATTATTCCAATTTTTTGTTTAACCTTTTAGTTCAATATATTTTCCACCAAAAAACCTCGATCTTCCACAGTAGAAAAGTATTTATAAATGGATCACCTACCCATTTGGATGCATCAAGGGATTTTCACAGTTCCTCAGAATAAAAACCACCTGTGAATGCAGTTCCCTGCCTCTGGTGACCAGGGGCTTTCTAGTACTATGTGGTTAGCTCCCTTCTGGACACTGCAGAGCTCAGATTTCTTTCTTCTGAAGAGCACTTTCTTCTTCTTATAGAGCACTGGGGATGTTTATCTTCCATTTTTATGATGACTTTCATTTTCACCTGCCTCGCTGCAAGGATACCTGTGTCCTCTCAGCTCTGTGGAATGGGATGCCTGTTGTGATCACTGCCCCACAGTGTGCAGTGCAGAGGAGTTGATGCCATTGTGGTTTCTTCCCGAAGGAGAAGTACTGGTCCTCAGGAAGTGACACAGCCCCTCTGTCTCCTGTTGGTGGGCCAAGCCTACAGAGAGAAATCCTGATGTCAGCCCTGGCTCAGAAACTGAACAGCAGGAGATCCTGCAGGCTGTCTCACAGGGCAAACTCAAAGCTCCATTGCACAGGATACATAGGATAGACTATTGTATTTTGGTTGTAGGAAGCCTAGCAGACATCAGTATCATCAGTGCAGATGGGAAAGGCAGATGGGAAATGCAATCCCTTTCACAGAATCATTTAAATTGGAAAAGACCTTTAAGATCATCGAGTCCCACCACAAACCTAACACTGCAGTCCTGAGGCAAGGTTAACTTACCTCCTGGCAGGCTACAGAAACTTCAAGACACATTCCTTTAGTCAGTGAAAATGCACATTAATTGGAGAAAGTTCCAGCTGGTTCTGCAAGGGCCCCAGCAACTTTGAACTCCAGGGACAGAAACCCATACGTGGAGCAGCTGCATTTGCTAAGTGTAATGCCAGTTAAAAAACAAGGTAGGCATTCAAGTTCGGTCGGAGGAGGTAAAGGATTCAAGTTGTAGACCAACATACCCCAGAAGTATCAGAAGGAAAGGTTACTACACCCACCTGATTGTCTTCACACATCTGCTGACAGACAGTTCGGGTCATAAACCGCTAATCACATGGAGAAATCAGCCAGTTTGTTGGAGACATATGATTTGAACTGTTTAATCTCATCCCACTGCATTTGCCTAAGACAATCTGGAGACTGATACAAACAGAATGGTAAACTGAATCATCCCAGAAAGAGCTTAACACTCATTAATGGGCAGGGGTAATTATCCTGATTTGAAATGCTGCGTTTGTACATCACTGTCATGGAAAAGGAGGTAGAGTCCAACAGTACCTCTGCTAGCAGAGTGTGGACACAGGGAGCACTACAAAAGTGCTTGCAACTATGCTTCTATGAAAGAAGATGTGATCTCTACTTATATAAGAAATGTCAGCAAAAACGTGTATAAAAGTCTTTAAACGTTTGTTAATGTTTCAGCACAAATGAAAGCAACTGGTTTTTCATTCGTTTTTCCCTGTAATGGACAGGAAAAAAAAAATAAATAGAAGTAAGGTAAAGGAATATTCACAGAAAGGAAATTGAAAATAAAAGATGAGTGGGAAAATAATACTAACTGATGATTTAAAATTATGCCAAAACCTAGACTTAATTAATTCTCTTTCAGGAAGAGAGGTAGCTTCAGTTCCCTTAGAAGAAGTCTGGATTCCCTCTGTGTGCTCTGCCAAAACGAAGCTAGACTTTAGTCAAGCACGAAGTACTAGAGTAAAACTCAGAGGCACTGAGTGAAATTACAGGGAAAGAAAATCAACTTTTTGAGCTATTACTGTAGTGAACCAATTTGTTCACTACAGTTCAGGATAACAAGAAAAAATAGTATTGGAAAAATAAATCATCATTTTGCAATGCGATAGGGGTCTGTACTTACATACATAGGGGACATTTCTCACAAGTTTGATACCCAACCATCTAAGAAAAGTCAGCTAAAATTATTCAGCTTTCAATGGCATGTACATGTTTAATGATGAAATTATTTCCTGTTTTTCAGATATAGCATAATATACAGTTGAACTTAGATGCAACTTGACTTTTTCCACTATAAATCCATTGACTTTTCACCTACTGCCAATAATAAACTATCTATTTCAGGACAGGTGGCTCATTAATGTGAGAGAAGAAACACCTGTATTACTGTAAAAGAAATTATTAGTGGGATTTGCTTGTTATTTGGATCTGCCAGGATCCGCAAGTGTAAAAATAAAGAAATACAGTGACTACAATGAAATAAATTAAGATAATAAAAGTAAATTGTTATTTTAGTGCTTATTAAGGTGGACAAATTTCTACATGAAAAAGAATATCAGGTGTGCCAGAAGCTTTACATCTGTGCTCTTAAGAGGAAAGCTTAGACAAAGACTATTATCAGTAGAGAAGTAATTAAAGAGAAAAGAGAGAGGCTTTCATTAAATCAGAAGCTAACGGGTTTGATTTTATCTTACTTCCAAAGTAGTAAATCAGTTCCTGGCAGTCAATATAGGGGAAAAATATAAAGAGGAAGAATCAAACTATTGTTTTTGCAATATATTGTTACACTTTCCTCCAGATAGGAGTAATTATTTGCTTTGTCTTACCTTTTTTTAAGTAACTTACAAGCAATTACATGTGGTAGTAGAACAACAG